AGAAATATGAAAAAGCAAACTTTGCGAGACGCCGACTGATGACGACGATGTCTGGGCACAATCGCTTGTCTGCGACATCACAAAATTCTGAGATCCTTTGAAGAGATTCTGCTGGGATTCGGCCACTACTGCGCCGCCTACTGCCAATTCTTTGTCAGTTTTCTGGAAATGAGCAATCATAGCGAGTAGCAGAACATCACGCATCCGGGGAGCCAAGCCTCAGTCTTTTCCCGCAACGCGAGAAAGAAATCCAGAAATGACTGATCGCATCCTGACAAAAGCAACTAGAACGTCAATCACATTTGCTTAATTGTACTGGGATCACAATGCTCATCCCAAATATCACTGCGAAGTCTTTCGATCAGTTACGCAGCTATTCCAGATTCCTCGATCTTGAACAATCTTACCTTTTTTTAGGGGGGCGCCCACGCATCGTTTTTCTTTAACATGATCTAGAAGGAGGAAATATCCAGAAATTTTCTAAAAGCTCCATCTAATCTATATTCAAAAGAAGGCAATGATATTTGACAAACGAAGCAGCTGCGTCACGCAGTTTCCTCAAAATAGAAGGAAGGAGGAGATAGCTCAAAATAATCTCATTTTACTTGCAATATTAAACAAAATGTAAATGAATGCTCCGGTGGCCTTCGAAGAAGTGACGCACATACATCGAATAAGCGATGGGTACTAACTGCAGCTCCTATACAAAGCAGCATCGAAGGACCCGGCATAACTGCGCCCAGCTGTGGTACTATTTCAGGGAAATAATGTGGGACGCACACACTGATTGTCCGAGCATTCAAACGGCCTGGTACCATTTCAGAAAAATAAAACTGATATGGACACTCATGCTAACTGTCCGGATGGTCTTGGTGTTCTTGGTATTCGCTTCCTAACATTTCAATAAGCTTCCCTTAGCAAAATTATTCTGATGCAAGATTTTTGCATTTCGGCTTTAAATATTTTAAAAAATACCGTTCTTAATACAAAAAATATATATCCAGTTTTCTCAAGAAAATAAAATTAATAATGCAAAGTAAGTGTCCAAGGCAGTAACGATCAAATCTGGAACTCATGTTTTGAGGTCTTGAAAAGAATTCAGAAACAAAAAAGCTGCTT